GTAACTTCGGATTATGGCAAACGAGGGTGAATGATCTATTGGCGCAGCAAGGGATCTTGAAGGCTTTGCGACCTACAAAGCCGGCGTCGATGGATGAGGAAGATTGGGAAGAATTGCAGCAGCGAGCGGCAGGAACCATACGATTATGCTTGGCGGACTAGGTCATGTATCACGTCATGCATCTATCGTCTCCAGACGAAATTTAGGACAAAACTGTATCTGAAGCAGCGGTTGTATGGGCTGAAGATGCAGGACGATCACGATTTGGCGCAACACGTGAATGTCTTCAATCAAATCGTTTCTGATCTGGCTCGGCTTGATGTGAAAATTGAGGATGAAGACAGAGCGATGATTCTGTTGTATTCGTTGCCTTCCTCTTACGAACACATGGTGACTACTCTTACATATGGGAAAGAGACTATCAACGTTGAGGAGATTACTGCAGCCTTGTTGGCTCACAACCAGCGGAAGCAGAATGCAGGGGAAAGCTCTCAAGCCGATAGCTTATATGTCAAGGGTAATCGAGATCGTGGACGGAAGCCAGAGAAGGTAGGGTCCGGGAAGCGGAATTCCAGATCCAAATCCAGGGATAAGAAGACGATTCACTGTTACAAGTGCAAGGAGGCGGGACATATGAAGCGAGACTGTCCGAAGTTGAAAAAGCATATTGATGAGAAGCGTGATGGCTTATCCAAGTCTGTGAACGTGGTCGAGGATGATACTTCTGATTGCAGTGAGGGTGATATGCTTTCTATTTCAACGACACAATTGACAGATGCTTGGATTCTTGATTATGGATGTTCTTATCACATCACGCCAAATAGGGAATGGTTTTCGACATACAGGCCGGTTAATTCTGGTTCGGTTTATTTGGGTGATGATCGATGTTGCAATATTGTTGGTATTGGTGATGTCAGAATTAAGATGCACGATGGCTCCGTTCGGACGTTGAGTGGTGTTCGACATATCCCAGACTTGAAGAAGAATTTGATTTCCTTGGGCACTTTGCACAAGAATGGTTTTATCCCTAAGGTTGACGAGGATAGGGAAACCATTCGGATTGTTAAAGGAGCATTGACTGTGATGAAAGGCAAGATGACTGCAGGGAATATCTACAGATTGTTAGGGAGTACCGTTGCAGGTGGAGTTCACTCTGTTGAGTCCTGTGATGATACGACAAAATTGTGGCATATGCGCCTTGCTCATCTTAGTGAACGTGGTATGGCAGAATTACACAAGAGAAACTTGTTGCATGGTGTCAAAAGTTGTAAGCTCGATTTTTGCAAGTATTGTGTTCTTGGTAAACAGACTAAAGTCCGTTTCAAGACTGCGAAGCACACAACTCAAGGGATTCTTGATTATGTGCATTCTGATGTATGGGGGCCTTCCACGACATCGTCTTTGGGTGGATCTAGGTACTATGTTACTTTTATTGATGATTTTTCACGGAAAGTTTGGGTGTATTTTTTGAAACAGAAATCTGAAGTTTTTGAGAAGTTCAAGCTGTGGAAAGCTGAGGTAGAAAACCAAACAGGATGAAAAATCAAGTGTTTGCGGTCTGACAATGGTACGGAGTACACAGATTCACAGTTCCTACAATTCTGTAAGGAGCATGGGATTCAGAGGCATTTTACAGTGCGCAAGACACCACAACAGAATGGTGTTGCGGAACGAATGAACAGGTCGTTGAATGAAAGAGCCAGATGTTTGCGGTTGAATGCGGGGCTTCCCAAACACTTCTGGGCTGAGGCTGTTAACATGGTGTGTTACCTTATCAACAGATCGCCAAGGGCATCGCTGGCTGAGAAAGTTGCATAAGAGGTATGGACTGGTCATGATGTTAGTTTTGATAACTTACGGATTTTTGGTTGTCCTGCTTATGTGCATGTACCTGCTGATGAGAGATCCAAACTTGATGCAAAATCGAAGGAGTGCATTTTTCTGGGTTACAAGAAAGGTGTCAAAGGATTCAAGTTCTGGGATCCAGTTGCGAAGAAAGTTGTGATTAGTAAAGATGTCGTTTTTGATGAACAGTCTATGTTGCAGCAGAAGCAAGACACGACAGTGGTAGATTTCGAGCAGTTTCCAGTTGAGAAACCAGAAACTTCTCAACCGACTTCTGGTGGTTCCACTACGGATGATTTGCAGGATTATAGTCTCGCCAGAGACAGGGTGAGACGGACGAATATAAAGCCTCCGAACAGATTGGGTTTTGAAGACTTGGTATCTTTTGCACTTACTGTTAGCAGTGATGATCCAGTTACTTTTCATGATGCCGTTACTAGTCAGGAAAACGACAAGTGGATGGCAGCCATGGTTGAGGAGATGGAGTCTTTGAATCACAATCGCACATGGGAGTTAGTTCCCCTTCCTGAGGGTAAGAAGCCGATTGGTTGCAAATGGGTGTATAAGAAGAAACCAGCAGTAACAGAAAAAGAGGGGGAGAAGTTCAAGGCTCGTTTGGTAGCGAAGGGTTTTTCACAGCAGAAAGGAGTTGATTATGATGAAATCATTTCTCCTGTGGTCAGGCACACTTCAATCCGAGCAGTACTTGCATTGGTGGCTAGTTGGGATTTGCATTTAGAGCAGATGGATGTTAAAACTGCTTTTTTACATGGTGATTTAGAGGAGCAGATCTACATGCGGCAACCTGAAGGTTTCACTCAACCTGGAAACGAGCATTTAGTTTGCAGATTGAAGAAATCTTTGTACGGGTTAAAACAGTCTCCGAGACAGTGGTATAAACGGTTTGACTCCTATATGATCAAGATTGGCTACAACCGATGTGATTATGATTGTTGTGTCTATGTTAAGAGCCTTGATGATGGTTCTTTTATTTTTCTATTACTGTATGTTGATGATATGTTGATTGCTGCGAAGAACATGGATGATGTTATCGGTTTGAAAACTTTATTGAGTCAGGAATTTGATATGAAAGATTTAGGTGCTGCAAAGAAAATTCTTGGAATGGAAATTTGCAGGGACAGAGACTCAAGGAAACTGCGGCTATCTCAACGGGGTTATGTTGAGAAAATGCTAGAAAGGTTTGCGATGAGCAGCGCAAAACCAGTTAGCACTCCATTGGCGAATCACTTTAAGCTCTCATCAGAACAGTGCCCCAAGACAGATAAGGAAGCTGAAGATATGGCAAAGGTTCCGTATTCTAATGCTGTTGGCTGTTTGATGTATGCGATGGTATGTACTCGTCATGATTTAGCTCATGCTGTTAGTCAAGTTTGTAAGTACATGTCTAAACCTGGTAAGCAACATTGGGAAGCAGTCAAGTGGATCTTTCGGTACTTAAAGGGTACTGTGGGACATGGAATTGTTTTTGGGAGTCAGCGGGATAATCCTTTGGTTGTAGGATATGTGGATTCAGATTATGCAGGTGACTTGGATAATAGAAGATCTACGACAGGGTATGTGTTTACTCTTGGTGGAGGGCCTATTTGCTGGAAGTCTACTGTTCAATCTGTCGTGGCACTATCTACAACTGAAGCTGAATACATGGCAGCGGCTGAAGCTGCAAAAAAAGCTTTATGGCTTACTGGTTTAGTGAAGGAGTTGGGTGTTCAACAAGGTGGAGTTCAGTTGCTTTGTGATAATCAAAGTGCTATTCACTTGGCTAAGAATCAGGTGTATCGTGCTAGAACTAAACATATTGATGTAAGGTTCCACAAGATCAGAGAGTTGGTTGCATCTGGAGAGGTTTTGTTTCAGAAGGTACATACTGATGAGAATGCCGCTGATATGTTCACCAAGCCAGTTACGACAGACAAGTTCAAGCATTGCTTGGACTTGTTGAATGTTTCGAGTTGTTAAAGAAGCAAGGTAACCCAACCCACATTGAAGTTTCCAAGGGGCAGGATATTCGCCAATGTGGAGATTTGTTAGGAATGGCTCATAAATATACTAGTAAAGAGGACAGGAGATGGAGCGGAGTGAGCGAAGCGAACATCAACTGTCCTTACAAAGAAAGTCTTGTTGTGGGGTTACAAATTATGTGGGTTGGGGATGCGGGGGCGCAGCCCCCCGCGGTACGGTACAGGGTTGATTTTGTAATTATGTACCAGGGTTTTCTATTATAAATAGAGATGTAACCTAGACCTAAAAGATCATTGAATAAAACTTCTAGCGCCGCCTAGGCACCGAGGACGTAAACACATTGCCGAACCTCGTAAAATTCTCGTGTTCTTTCGTTTTCTTTACCCGTTTTCGTCAACATCGCTGTCTAGAGCTCTTTCTGTAAACGAAAATAAGGAACAATAGAATTCGACAGTGTTGTATATGAGATTATATGCATGCACTTTGATCATCTTAAATGCTCTGAAGTCCAAGACAGAACATCAAAAGCTAGTTGGAGATGCAAAATGAAAGTTAATAACTTCAAAAGATTGTGTTCTCTTATGCTAGTTCTTAAATTTAGTGTTTAGATTGGTAAAATATTATCCGACTTGAATAGGCATCCAACAAATTCTACTTGACATTTACCGTCCGCCCCGAGGCCATGAAAGAGGGATTGAGGATTCAAAATGTTGTTCTGGCCACTGAAGAGGAAGCTCGGCCGGTGCTCGAAAGAATGGACACTAAGAGGTCCCAATAGGCATACTTACGGAGCTACTGAAGAGGAAGCTTGGTGGGTGCTCGATCGAATGGATGCTGAGAGGTCCCAATAGGCATACTTACGGAGCCACTGAAGAGGAAGCTCGGCGGGTGCTCAAACAAATGGATGCTGAGGGGTCCCAATAGGCATACTTACGGAGATTCCTTAACAGGAAAGAGAATAAACTAAAACATCTTTCTTTTAGGGCATTTTGTGGAGCAAAACATGTATGATGCTTTACATATTCATTTGAATCAATCTCTGTAAGAAACCCAGTGCTTGTAATTCCACACACAAACTCATTCTCAAGTTGAAATGGAGAATTTTCCATCCTAATCATCCAAAAGCTGATTAATTAATTTCCGGAAATACAATAGAGTTCTACTTCTATCTTTGAATATAAGCTTCAACTGGGAGTCACTAATTTATTTACAAGATAGATTCAACCTCATAGCAATACTATATTTAGCTTCTGCTATAATATTATATATGATATATATGTGAAGAAAATTGCTCACAAGGGCATTTGCATCGACAGCTGCATTTGAAATGGGACTGTTAGATAGTGGACATCTAACCATGATGAAGATGTTGAGATTTACCCACAATAACATGTGGATGTGGGACATTTATCACAAACTATGACGGAGTTTCATCGTCCGAGGAACTATAATGCTGCCTCACGCTGAGTCCAGGAAAGACTGGAGGATTTGGTAACGGAGGTGCCAAACTGTATATTGTTCTCTCGTTGACCTTTGCAACTTCCTTGCACACTCGATCAAGAATGGAAAGGAAATCCCTTATGACTGTAAAGATCCGGAACAACTGAGCTTCCTCCTGGGCAGAGTTCCCATGGAAATACCCTGTTATTTCATTCACCATAGAGAGAGCAACTCTGTCTTGGGTTTGGATTCTTACAATCTCTTCCTCTGCCTTCTTCAGGAACTCGTTCATTGATTCCGAGAATTTAAGGCTGCTGTCTTTCAGAGCAATTCCTTCGTTTAGCTTTATAACTTCTCTGATTTTAGAGATACCGGTTGCAAGCTTTGCAACATCAATGCTGAGAACATCAGAATCCATAGCAGCGGCCTTCTTCACATTAGTTAGCTCCCCGCTTAGACTAGAAACTACTTGCAGGCCAAGCTTCCTATATTCAACATCATCCTGAAAATCAGATTGCTGGGTTTTCTCGGCTTTTATATTTTGATTGACACAAGAAAGGCGAGAACCTTCAGCTCTGATGATTTCCTGCACAACAAAATGCAGAAGCGTGGTTTTCCCATCAGTGCCCTTTACGTCAACAAGCTTTAGGAGTGTGTTAAGCTTAAAGGCATGGGCATCGCCACGGTTCGTGCCAACGTTCATGCGGTTCCCAGTTTTGAGGACTGCCTCCAAAAGCTTCAGAAACATTCTACTGTTACTCAACTCTCCACAAGCAGCCTGCAGAGGAGAAACACGTTGCATCGGTTAGAGAATTGCCACAAAATGGTAAATTGAAATATCGAAATCCTTCATTTAAAGCAACACAAGACCGGAATATCAAGAGTGACAGCTATGAAAAGGACATCGAGATCATGAATTCACGCAGCATGAAGTTTATCTAAAGTAATATGGTCAAATAATGCATGGCTGCCCCAAAATGTTACCGACTAAAAGCGATGTAGATTACAAATCATAAGGTTTTGAATATTACTTACCTGTAAAGTTTCAAAAGCCCCTTTCAGGTACTCAATTTCAGAGTCAAAATTAGCGATGTAGAGCAAAGCATCGACCCTCTTGAAGGCGAAAGGTACATCAACCACAGCCTTGAGGAACTTCTCAGCAGGACCTAGCTTAAAAGGGGATTCATCATTGAACTCCTTCAGTTTGCGCTCTTCTTCTTCGGTTGGAGCCATCTTTAATAGGCTTTCCAAGAGCTCAGTCCCAAGAGTGTCTGAATTGCCTGTTTGCAAAGAAATATAAAGCGGTTTAGAGATAAAATTGAAGGCAAGGATGGGGACGGAAATAAGGTAAAGATGAAGCAAGTGATGATGCAAAGAAACACTTGAACATCAAATACACTGCTATGTTCTCCACAGATTACCACCGGAACGGCATCATAATGTATATAGACGGCAAATTGTATTTGCCATGAAAAATGTATACTACCTTCCATAAGCGCTTCACAGACTTCATCAATGGTCACATTTAGTGCCCTCAATAAAATGGCAATGTTTTGAGATTTCTTCGGATCAAGCACATGATTTTCCGGGTTCCCAACAGGTAGAATCCGCCGCTGAGCCGTATCTTTCACGGCCATATTTGGGTTATTCACCATAAACAGTGTCTCAATCATTTCCTCATTCAATCTGAAAGCATCATTATAGCATTCTACAGCTTAACAAAACATTCAAAATGAAATAAACATAGACATAAAAGTAATTCAAAACCAAAAGAAGAATAAAATATAAGCAAACTAATTGTTAATAAAAGTAATTGCTAATAAAAGTAAGATAGGGGAGTATCTCACTGAAAAGAGCTCGCTTTTATCTGATCCCACACCATGGCCCGATCCGAACTCGCTCGAACTTTATCCCAATGTAGAGGCTTCAGCTTCGGTTTTGGGGTCTCTTCACTTTTCTCTAAGCCTTCATTCTTCTTCAACGGCTTATTTACAGCCATTGACCTAGAGGGTGCAACAAGAACCGGAGGCCCCCTTGAATTAGTCTCCGGAACAGAGCTCACCGTCACAGGAACTTCCCAAAGACGCGATGGAGGAAGCGGAGGAGGAGGTGGCGGAAGCTTCTTAAGCGCAACCTTTGATGGAGATTCCTTCTCCAACCCCGAAAAATTCGAACCTCTATCCGGTGAGTCCGTATCTGAAGACGAAGACGATGAAGCTGAAGGTGAAGATGAAGATGAGGTTTTTACTCTCTCTGTATAGACAGGAACAACGGCATCTGGAGATTTGGATCTTTGACTCAAAGGGCTCGAGTTCAAGAATGAATTTGTAGGTGAACAAGAGTTAGATAAAGGGTAAGAAGCTGTTCTTGAGTTAAAGCTTCGGCTTCCAAAGTTATCACCATGAAAGTCCCTTCTTGAACTTGATTCTATTCTTACCGGCGGTGGACTCTCTCGTCCACCAGAAGACGCTCTTGGCGAAAAAAACTCATCTTCTTCATCTTCAACATTGTTTTCAAAACTACCCGTTTGTTCAGTTTGGAGAAACTGTTCTCCGCTAAGAAGAGTTTGGACTTTTGGCAATGGCGGCAATGGATTCAAGTCCGGGGAGCCAAGCTTTTGATAAGGTGAAGACGAAACTTCCAGCTTGATACCTCCATTTCTAGAAAGGATAGCTTTTTCTGGGTCTACTGTAGAGTTGACAAGTGTTCCTAAGTAAAGAAACTCCGAGCTGCGGTTTGTTGAGACGTAGTTTGGCGGTTGTTGCGGTGGTTGTGGAGCCGGAAGCTTTTGGGAGGCATCTGAGGAGGGAATGTTGGGGGGGAATAAGCGAATGGAGTCTGAAAGGGAAGCTTTATCGTCGGAGGAAGTGTTCTGGTTGTTATGATGGCGGAAGAAGAGGGCGAGGACGACGAGAGAGAGGATGACTGCTGCCGCGAGGAGGGCGGAGGAGAGGGAGACGAGGATGATGTGTCGGCGGTGGGAGGAGGGGGAGGGAGAATGGGGTACGAGCAAGGAGGAGATGTTAGCAGGAAATGTTGGTACTGTGGAGGATGGTGGCGGACGCGGCGGAGGGGTAGAAAATGAAGGAAAGAAAGGCTTTCGAGTAGTGGAAGGGGGAGTGGTGGCGAAAGGATATTTGGGTTGCTGCTGTCGCGGCGGGTGAACAGTGGAAGCGCTAGAAGGAGGATAGACTGGCGGAAAGGAAGTAAAGGGCAGAAAAGGTTGGTGGAGCAGGCGGCGATGATAACGGACAGAAGTGGCCGTTGTAATGGCGGAGAGGATTAGGAGAAAGAGAAGATAGAGGCGGCTCACGGTGGCCGCCGACATTTTTGTTCCTTGAACGTAAAACCACACTAAAAGAACCACCGTCACGCACTCTATTTAAAAAACAAGTGAACAGGAAAGCGATGAAATCTGTTCCCAGATCAAAATTGACCGAAAGTGAACAAAAAAATCCAACCTTTTAATCGAGAATCAGTAAAAACATAGAACTGCAGTGGGTTTTCACATAGCTGTCTTCAGCATATAGAAAGAAGAGTGCGGAGCAGACAGCTGTAAAAGACAAAGTCAAGAAATGTTTTCGAAGAAGAAAACACGACGCAAGAGGTTAAAAACGTCTGACAGGACGGAGATTGCTCGTTCATTAAGATTTCGCCATCATTTCTTTTTATTCCCCTTGATTTCCTTGTGTTGGGATTCTTCATTTTTTGCAACTCTATCAAGACTTGAATGAATGTCGTTGATATAATAATAATATTTTATAAAAAATATTATAATATATAATTAAAAATTAATTTTATTTCCAACACAATTAATTTAAGTGATAAATAATTTGATATATTAATTATGTTTCAAGTTTGAGGTGTTGTGTAAGTAGAAAATATTCGGTAAAATTTGAAAGATTCATCCAACAAAATTAAGTGTACGATATAGGTGGATCGCATAAGTGTATCATATAAAAAATAATTAAATCTAATTATTTTATTATTATAATTAGTTTATATTATTTTGATTAATATAATTTTTAAATAATTAGTATTTTTATTCTTTTCATGTTTTAACAAATTCTTTTATTTTAATTATTATTTAAAGGATTGATAACAAGATAGTGTGTGTTAATAAGTATGTAAATTTATGATTTTATAAATAACAAAAATAATTATGTTATTTGAATAGGGTTTAGGATTTTTATATTAAAATTGTTGAGATTGATATTTATAATAAAAGTGAAAAAAAATCATGCTCACGGATAATCTATATACGAACGAGTTCTACAAGGTGATTGATGTCCGTTACACATTGAATTTTATCGGATTAGTTAGACTTCAATAAGATTATCATCGTCGTCGTCACTATTGTTACTTTGACTAGTATCATCGTGTACTGATGGGATAGATTAATATATTGGTACATTTGAATGGTATGAGATGAATAATGATTTATGAAGAATAATAAATGTGGAAGCACCCGATCAACAATCCAACCACATAGTAGAATCAATAAAAATTCAAAGTATAGCATCGATGAATAAGAAATCAAAACTAAAATGCGGTAACTGATGCTCGTAAATTACATGCAGGTTATGCTCGATGTGGTGTTCCTTTACCAACAATAATTTTAGTTAATGATTGGTCATACTACTACTTAGAGGGTGGTACTGCGTCATTTATGATAGATCAAGAGTGTGATGATAGTAGTACATCTTCAAGTGGTGGAAAGCCTCTGACTGATTAATTGAGTGTGCTTCTCTCGATAATTGAGTCTTCGAGAATTGTTTCTATAGAGATCCCTGATGTGCATGACACTGACCAAGTTGATAATGCTACAAGGTTGCCAGGTGTTGAGGATCAAACCAGGAGTGATGTGGTTGTGTAAACAATCACATGATGCTGACGAGGAGTAAGTGTGGGATATTTTAAGTCAAAAGCCTATATGATTACTCGTGATCGGCCAATGTACATGAAGCTTTACAATCACTCAACTGGAAAGCTGCAGTTCATGCATATAACGATGTCTTGTTGAAGAATTGCATGTGGTCTTTAGTGCCACTGCCTTAATGGAGCTATGTAGTTGGTTGCAAATGGCTCTTTAAGTTGAAAACTAATCCAAATGGCTCGGTTCATCAATAGCTCGTTTAGTGGCTAAAGATTATTTTCAGATCTCTGGGCATGACTTTAACGAGATATTTAATCCAATGGTTAAGTTTGCTACTCTCAATACTATGTTGTCCTCGGTTGTAACGAAGAAGTGGCAGTTTAAGCAAGTAGATGTTAATAATGACTTTCTCAGCGATGACTTTCATGAGAAAGTGTTCATGCAGCAACTGTCAAGTTTTGAGCAACAATCTGCTGATAGTAGGCAGGTTGTGTGTAAATTTGAGAAGGCATTGTATGATTTACGTCAGATATCATGTAACTGACATGCCAAGTTGAAGCAATACCTTACTCGTCTAGGATTCAAGGAGTCAAAAGTTGATACTTCATTGTTCATTAAAAATAATTAGGGTATTTACACGTATATGTTAATATATGTAGATGATATTGCAGTTATTGATGAACAAATGATGAAATTAAGAGTGGTGAAAATGCTGGTGTTAAATTCTCACTAAAAAAATCTAGGTGAGCTTGGATATTTTTTAGGCATTGAGGTCCAGAGGTGTCATGATTCAATTGTTCTCAGTTAGTGAAAGTTTATTCTTGAATTGCTGATGAAGACTAAGATGAATTGTGCCAGTCCAGCTACGACTCTTATAGCTCTATCAAAACTAACTCAGAATGCAGGCGATTTACTTTGTACTATAGTGGGAACTTTGTACTATAGTGGGAACCTTACTATATGCTTGTCATACTCCCCCCAGATATCACCATTAATATGAACAAGGTGGCATAATATATGCATGGACCTCGAGAAGGTCATATACCTGTTGTCAAAAAGGATACTCGAGTACTTAGTAAGAACCCTAATCTATAGCTGGGTTATATCTCCTATTGCAACAGAGTTAAAGGTGTTTGTGTTTGTTGATGTAGATTGGGGTGTCAACCCTAATGATCGAAGGTTAATGTCAGGTTACTGTGTTTTTATAGGTGATAACGTAATTTCGTGTACCTTAAAGAAGCATAAGTCATTGTTTAGGTCCACCATGGAAGCATAGTACATTAGTGTTGTTGATGTTGTTGTCGTGGTAATTTGGATTAGTGCCTTACTTTCAGACATGCGAGTTGTGTAACAAGGTGTTCCAGTGATATGATGTGATAATAGCAGTGTTGTTTTTATGAGTGCCAACTGACTTATCATGCAAGGGCTAAGCATGTCGAAGTGGATGTTCATTTTGTACGTAAAAAGGAGGCAGCTGGACAAGCGATTATTAACTACGTTCCAACTAGTCATCAAGTTGCAGATGGACTTACCTAGTCATCAAGTTTCACTCAGAGTTCGTGTGCAGTCTTTTGAAGGGGAGGAAGAATGTTGAATATAGTAGGTGAGATTGTTAGAATGGTTGAACAGTTGAGGCAGTTTGTTAAGGCTAAGTGCTATATAAATAAATGTACTATGATACTGAGAAAAATAAGAAACTTCCCCAGACTTTTACCCTCATCTCAAGTGCGGATGACGAAGAGAACGACTCAATAGAGAAGGCCTTAAAGCTCCCAACAGAAAGTCGAGGCAGCCAATGGAGCGACAAAAACTCGACCATCAAAAGAAAAATAGAAACTATAGACTGAACAACGGATGAAATGACAAATGAGGTAAAAGGGGTTCTTTTGGCTGAAAACATGGTGTTTATATCTACGACTTCTTTATTTACCCAAACAACTTAAATTGAAATCTATGGCCATAGATCGGTTGATAGTGCAGAGGGTAAGTAGTGTGTGAGACGCGGGTACTAGGCTAACTTATACACCATTTCCACTTTCTGTTCTTTTTTTTAGCTTAATAAATAGGGTAAAGTATGCATTTAGTCATCTTACTATCACTTTAGTTTAGTTTTAATCATCTAACTATTTTTTTTCAAATCAGGTCTAATATCACATTTTAGTTTCACTTAGATCATATGTCGTTAAAATTCTTAAAAATGAATTTACATATCACGTCTATATGAAGTTTAAAGTTCTTAAAATGAACTCCTAATATTCACATATTCTCGATAAGATATAAATTCTGTTCAAAGTAGTCCTCCGAGAGTCATATTTTAATTTAATTAAATCTTTTCTACTTTTCATTTCTTCCAATTAAGACATAAACTTAAAAAAATATTAATGTCAAAGTCCAATTCACTTGCATGAACTTCTAATTTCAGGATGTTAAAAATATGCCCAAATGATTGTACTCTATCGTGCATAATGACACAAACCAAATGACCTCAGCGATAAAAGAATTGTTGTTATTCATTGAGATTTCAGGTTTGAGTACCAGGAATGCCAAAGATATGAACGTTTAATGTCAAAATGGTGGAGAGTTGTCTATAAACATATATTGCCTTGTACTTAACCCCAAATTAATTAAAAAAATGATGTGAATAATGATAAGCACTTATGTGCCCAATACATGCATTTCAATAGCCACATGTTTGCACTTAATTAGTAATCCCAATGATTGAACCAATGGTGCCTAATGTTTCTATGCACTTCATGTGTCCGATGAACCTGAATATCATACTTTTATTGTCAACTTCGGATACATGGCTAATACTATTGGCAATGAGTAGGCGTGTATTCGGTTCGGTTCGGTTCGGTTTTTTTATCAAAAATTAAATCGAACCGAAATAAACAGTTTTTTAAAATTTAAATCGAAACCGAATGGTTAAAAAACCGAAAAAACCGAAACCGATTTTTTCGGTTCGATTTTTTAACGGTTTGGGTTTTTCGGTTTTATTTGTTTTGGTTTATCGGTTTTTCAATGAAAAAATCACTTGAAACTATAATTTTTTTTAAAAAAAAATTGTCTATTCGGTTCAATATGGAACAGATGGGTTCCATATGAAAAACCCGAACCGAACCGAATCAAAATAATTAAGACTTTAAACCGAACCGTATAATGCCAAACCGAACCGAACCATTTTACTCTATTCTTGTCGATTTTTCGATTTTCTCGATTTCGTTGCTCAGCCCTATCAATGAGAACATTTCGTGAATGAGCATAACATACAATGTATATACCTTATGATTTTGTCAATGAATGCATGATTATAATGAATTTTTATATATTATGTTAAAAATGTATATTTAAGTGTCTTACTAAGCTTTAGTATTTTAACATATGATTTATTTTCATTTGTAGGTAAAAAGTACGTACGGAAAATTGATTGAGATCCACAAAAAGGTTTCGAACCACAATTTTTTGTATTAAGCATCGTCTCATTTCTCTTACGTATAAAGTGTTTTGAGTATTGCATCTTTATAATATGTTGATGTGAAGTATGAATATGCATGAAAATAACTTAACTTGATTATAAGAGACTAAAATAAGTTAATATGGTAATATAGAGATTTTGATGCGTTAAAGTGTTTAAGTAATACGTTCTAGTCCTTTTTTTTATGTAAAAGCAGAAAATCAGCTAATTTCACTCCTGCTCCGTACAGTGGTGTTCCTCCTCTTGCAGCATCGCCACAACATTCTCAGGGTGGAACTGATAAACTTGAAAATCAGGGTTGCTCGGAAAATTCTCATGCGCAATTCGGTCTGCAACCTTATTTCTCTCTCTCGGCACATAACCGAACTCCGACTTCCTAAACTGAATAGCCAATCCCCGAATACGGTAAACTAACGCCAAAAAAACAGGCCTCCCTGAACTATCAGTAATTGCATCGATGGCGTTTTTACCATCCGACTCCACACACACAGATTCCAAACCTAATCTTCGAGCAAGATAAAGGCCCTCATAGATTACCCAAAGCTCAGCTTCAAGCGGCGAACAGCACCCAACTTTTTTGGTGAACCCCGAAACCCAGCTGCCATTATGATCTCGAACAACTCCCCCACACAAAGCAATGCCATTTTCACTCCGACACGCTCCATCTGTATTAATTTTAAAAGCCCCCGCCGGAGGAGGACTCCATTGATCATCCCGATCAATAACCTGTTCTCGAGTAACCCCGGAAGCCTTGCGAGCAGCCACTGCTCTTGCCATGTCATCTCTAAAACGATAGCTTTGCTCATGGATGCTTTCACTGGCCACAAAATTTGGATCGAAAACAATGCAATTCCGCCGGCGCCAAAAATTGCACACAATGGCCCCAAAAAAATAAATCCCAATCATCAGAGATAAGAGGAAATAGCTAACCTGATTCAAATAGTCCCCATTTTTATAGGGAACTTATATTTTGGTCACCCAACTTTTGAAACTTACAATACAGTTATTAAACTTTTAGTTCATTTTCAAAATGGTCCCTGCAAGTTTTTGCTGACATGGCACGTTAATTCCGTTAAAACAAAAGCCCCCGGTCTTCTTCTTCTTCCTTCTTTATTTCTTCTTCTTGGCACGTTAAATCCGTTAAAACAACATCCCCCAGGTCTTCTTCTTCTTCTTCCTTGTTTCTTTCTTTCTTCGTTCTTCTTCTTCTTCTTCTAAATTTTAAGATTAAAAAAATATATGCTGCAACTCTGTTATTCCTTACAAGCTCAGCCATGAAGAAGAATCCAAGGAAAACAACTATTCCAATGCAGCTTTCACGTGGATGAACTCTGTTATTCCTTATCATCATTGGGTATTCCAATGCAGCATATTTTTTAACGTCAACCATTTAGGCGAACCGATATAGACTTGGGTATGCCATTTTTCCCCCTTTGTTTTTGGAAACTAAAGCTGGCTGTAAATATTAGGCTCAAGACCTGCCATGGAAGAATGGTTGAACTTCATAAAAATTTTCAACCAAAATCAACCCTGGTTTAGTAAAAGTTGGCCACCCGAATGTAACTAATATAGTACGATCTGTTGCCATGAACCTTGCTATATATGTGCCCACTTTTCCCTATTAGGAAGACAAAGCCTTTTTAGTGCCACAAATAACTTGCTCCCTGAAAACTGAACCTCCAAAATGGCTTTAGAATATGTGAAGTTGGGTTTAGCCCTGGTTTTGGGGACCATTCGTTGTGATTTAGCCACGGCTCAGTCCGGTTGCACCAGCGTGCTCTTGGGTTTAGCCCCGTGTTTAAACTACATTACAGGAAGGTCGACAACCCCGGCATCGAGTTGCTGCTCTCAGCTTTCTAGCGTGGTTCAATCGCAGCCTCAATGTCTTTGCTCGGCACTCAATGGCGGGGGCTCATCATTGGGTATTACCATTTTTTGCAGCTTAAAAAGTACAAAAAAAGGAAGAAGAAGAAGACCTGGGGGTGTTGTTTTAACGGAGTTAAACGTTTCACGTCAGCAAAAACTGACAGAGGTAACAGCAGGGACCATATTAAAAACGAACTAAAAATTTAATAACTATATTGCAAGTTTTAAAAGTTAAGTGACCAATATGCAAAATAATTAAAAGTTAGGGGACTGTTTGTATACTTTTCCCTTATTAAAAACTTTTTTTAACAACAAAACCTAGTAGTAATTGTTTGGCATTGAAGGAAGAAGAATTGAGATCCCCCTCCCGCTTTGTCCCAAACCCATCTTTGCTGAACACAAATCCATATATTCTTTCATACTTCAATATGGGTATTTTACCCTTAATATCTTAAACACCAGAAGCAATTTGTTTTTTTCCTCTCTCTCTCTAATTTCGATTCTTCTGGATCTGGGTATTTCTGAAAATGGGGAAAAACCAAGCCTACAAGGCTATGCAAAGAGCCAGGCTTGACTCTTCCTCAGCTGGCGTTGAAGAGATCGAGGATGGCATGGTTTGTATCCTTCCATGTTCAAACAATTCTATATATTTGATTTATGTGAAAAATTTACTTTTCGATAGTTACTTGCACCTGTTTTTCGTTTGGGTGCTTTGTATTTGTTGATTTTCATTTCGTTTATATTGGTAGTTGTGTTTCTCTGTGCTTCCTAAGTTTGCAAATTTACTTTTGTGGTCTTCTAAAATCTTGTTTACTTATCTTGTATCAAAATGTTAGTCGTAGTTCTCGGATGGATAGGTAAACTTGTATGTAGCTGATTCAGTGTTGGATGTTAGAAGTGATTTAATGAAGCATTGATATTAATCTCTCACTAATTGTTCTGAGAATCACTATGGTATTCTGGAGTTTGATATGTTGATGTATATTTGTTATGATAAAATAAATAAATTCTTGTAAAGCCTGAATAGGTCGCATTCGGGGTATAGTAACATACTAATACTGACCCGAATTAGTTCTTAGATAAAAAAAAAGATGTAATAGCATAGATATATGCTAATAAGGGAATGTGTTATCTGTTTTATTTCAGTGTTATCTGGATTTGATGAGTTGTTCTATACTGCGAGTATATGGTTTTGAATTCATCACAATTTTTCCTTATTTCTAGGTAATCAGTGTAATAAATGTTATGTTTCTTTAAGTATGCAATCATTCAAACTTTTTTTGGTTTGTTTTTGGTCTACACTGATTAAGTTATTTTGTAGCTCGATGTTTTCTAACTTCAGATGATTGGTTGAGGAACTTTAAGAACATTGTCTGCAAATCAATTTTTGATGGAAACATGGCTCTCACTCTCTCTCGTTGCCATAAGATTGTAGATGTTTTGTATTCTTAAATATTTTTTGTTTTCTGGAGCATTTCTGATGAGGAGAATCGCAGGTGGATGGTTCTTTTCATTCACCAGAGTGGCATGCTGCTCGTTTGGCCAGTCTTAAAACTTCTCATACCGTTACGTGGGAAGAGTTTAAAAAGAAACAAAAAGTAAGCTAGTCCCCCCTGTTTCTATCATCTTGACTTGTTGCAAAAGTAGCTTAAGTATCTGTATTCAATTGGATAAAGATCATATTGAATCACATGTTTCTGTTATTATACAAGCTATAGATTGGAAAAAGATCATTAAGAAATCCATTTTCTAGTTATTCATATTCATATGACTAAATCTCTTTCCAATGATCCACAAAGCTTACCTGCATTTTAATTTGTTGGTTGAGTGCAAATATGTCATTAATGTTATTAGAGAGAGGGAAAGAAACTTTTTTTTTCTCGCAGTTTATCAATTTAGTGTGCATTGGAGAGAAATTTGCTACCTTGTGGGTGAGTTAGTTGACCAAAATACTGTCCAGTTGAGCATTATTTGTCAATAACAAGTAGCAACCATGCCATATTGATACTAGTTTCAAACATTAATAATGAGCTTTATGCAACTGAGCTTTATGCAATTTAGTGTGCATTGGAGAGAAACTTGCTACCTTGTGGGTGAGTTAGTTGACCAAAATACTGCCCAGTTGAGCATTATTTGTCAATAACAAGTAGCAACCATGCCATATTGATACTAGTTTCAAACATTAATAATGAGCTTTATGCAACTGAGGTTTATCATCTAGGGACTAAGGAGTTGCTTTGTCAAAGTTTCCCGTTCATTTGCTAAATATGTTAACCGTAAGATATTCTTGAGACTAGCCTGGTTGTCTATATGACTATGATAAACAACACGGCTCATAGGTGGGTTTCAATGTTGTTTTGTGTATTTGTTGATATGATAGGAAGATGCATTGAGAAAGGGGGAATTAGAAGCAGATACAGATCGAATGATGCGGGGATATAGAGCTCAGCTAGATGCTGAAAGGGCAAGCAAGCTTGCGCATGGTAGAAATCACTCCCGGAGTAAATCTAGCCATAAAAAGGGTATGTGTAAAAGGCCTTAAAAAGGCTGGTCTTTTCATGCCCGTCATTTGTTACTGTATATTCTTCTTGCTCTCTAAGGGTGTTGAATTCGTTGCAGATCGAAAAGAAAAAGGTGCAAAGAAGCGCAGCAGCAAGAAGAGGAAGGTACTTGTAGTTTCTATCAACTCTCTGACTGTAATTTTTTTTTGTACAGGAACTGAAAATGAAACAATGAAGTTGAGATTTTCATTTTCGGTATGCAAACTATTTTTAGTTGAGTTCTCCTGGTATCCGTAATGAGATTAGGAAATCAAAGACGGATGAAAATTTTACTCCAGCCATAGAATCGAACTGTATCATCCCTTTTATCATTATTGTTATTATGACAATGTTAACCGAAGTGCATTCATTAAACCTATGACTATATGAAGCGTTCAAGACGGAGATCTTCCGACTCTAGTTCCTCGAGTTCATCCTCAGAATCTTCCAGTAGTGACGGCGAAGAGAGAGAATCACGGAGGTTGAAGTCCAAGTCTAGGAGAGAGAAGAAAAAGAAACACAAATCGAAAAATAGGAACTCAAGCACTGACAATGAAGATGGGGAAGGTCCAGTGCCACTTTCAATATTTTTTGGGAGTGTGAAGAGTTAAAATGGCATGTTAAAAGAAACCAAATTGTGTAACTGTTAATTTCTGCATTAGAAAATGAATTTTCTCCCATATTTTCTGAATTAAAGGCTTGTAATGATGTTTAATTCCTTTTTTTTTTTTTTGCTCTGGATGTTTTCTGATTCATTCCTACTTTGTAGTTATTAATGGATGGTATTTATGAAAACCTGTTAAGTTTCTTCCGTTAATGTTCTACTATTTATTAGTAAATCATTCGTTTATATTTATTTATAAATAAATGAGTATGAACAAATTTTTTATATTCATTTAATAACTAAACAAACACGAATAAAGATGTATTTAGTCTGTTTATGTTTACAAAAAAGTTTGCTTATAGAGTTATTTATAAATCATTTACTTATTTTTTTAATTTATTTTTTTATATTTTAAATATTGATAAAGATAAAGATTAAATTGAACATAAGGTGAACTTTGAAGTACAAGATGTAAAGTCTAAGGAGCTTAAAGACTAGTGTTATGATTTCACTATTTTTCTTTGACTAGTAAATAAAAAGGTAAAAGTAATAAATAATTATGAACACAATACTAAAAATTTAAATAAACATGAATTATTTCAAAAAGAAAAAAACAAATAAACATGAGCACTTTTGAAAAAATAAACAAATGAAAACGAATACAACTTTATTCATTCAAGCTCCGTTGATTTACACCGATATGCCATACGAGAAATAGACAAGCTATGCTCAATTATGAATGGCTTTGAAAGTGGAGATGAAACAAACACGAGAAACCAAAGCTTGCTTGATTCAGTAGAATAGAACCCAAAAAAAAAAATCAAGACAGCCTATACAAACACCAATACAACAGTGTCCGTTTCAAGCTCATGAGCCCATCCTGTTCTGGATGGAACCTATGTACAGGAAGAAATCAACCACCAATCCCAACGCATAAAGAGCATTTTTACAACATAGGTTCAAAGCCACAGTAAAATAAATGGCATATCGAGTCAGTAAATGACTGTTTACTGCTAATGAAGTTCTGGGTAGAATGCAACTGCCTCCTGGTATATCAGCTCCTTCATCTGCTTCATTGCTAATGCACACATATCGAAGTCGAAGTTAATGGGGACCATACACACAGGCTCATCGCTTATGTCGTGCAGGTTCGTTAGATAGGGGTGAGCAAGGGCATCTGCAACTGTAACAAATAGGAAGTAGAGTTAAATGAGTTCCAACTTGAGGCATCGTAACATGGTAACTAACACAATCGTGTGACCATTTTGCATGGATTGGAAAAGTTTCGTAAGTGAATTGTGCAGAGTCGTATATGATGAGCTGCATGGCAACAAGCATAAGCATAAGGGGATAGTGAACGATCATATATGGTTATAGAAAGTCTTTTAAATTGGAATCAATTAGTACTATAACATTATAAATATTTACAATTAAATTTAAATAAAAACTCGAACAACTTGATCCGAAAAAAATTCAAATGAAGTTTGAGCTATAAAATAATGCTCCTTAATTCAACTAACTCAAATTTTTTAACTTGATTCGATTGAATGCTCACCTAATAAAAGAGCAAAAGAGAGAAACGGCCTTTGTTTTGCTACAAACTCACCAGTAATCCTTTGTCTGGGATCAAATCTCAACATCTTTTCAACAAGATCAATAGCTAAAGAATGGACTTTTGGGAATTTTTCGGCGAAAGATTGATGCGGATAGGTAGGAAGTTTCCTAATGTATGTCTAAACAATTTCATCCAAAAAATCCATTTCAGCTTCTGATGGAGTGCCAATTAGCTGCAAGGCAAAGAGCTTAGTGTACACAGTGAAATATTACAAGCATTTGTAGTTTACTGTTTCTTTTTTTCCTGAAATGCTCATGGCACCATATTTATCAACTTATTTGTTAGCGTTTTACATAATTTATATTGGTTGCAGGATAAGAACAATTTACCTCCAAAAGCAATCGCAGCTGACGCAAACGATCCCTTCCAGGAAATAATGGCTTACGAATCATCAATTCCATGACAATGCAACCAACTGACCATATATCAATGGCTGCAGTGGAATGTGACGAAAAAAACAACAGTTCTGGTGAACTGTACCATTCAGCAGCAACATATTCTGTCTGTAAAATACTTTCAGAGGTGAAACAAGCCAGTCCAAAATCACGTATTTTCAAGTCACAATTATCATTCAGGAGAAGGTTGCTGGGTTTCAAGTTCCTGTGCAGAATATTTGCTGAGTGTATATACTTCAAGCCACGTAAGATTTGATAGAGGAAATACGGTAAAGCACAAAGAAAGGTGGTTAACTTGATTTTAAGGCTCAAACGGCAACCCTTAAAAACCAATGGGGGCAATAATTAACTAAGATACTTCTAGTTGTTGGGTTTTTGTTCTGAAAACGAAAGGCAAAGAAACAATCTTTTAGGCAAGTTTTAAAATAAGACTGTTCAATATGGAGTTGCTTGTATTACCATTAGCTTCTACTTTGATACATCCTATCAAGAAATAACGTAGTAACTGCTATTACCAATTCAATGAAGTAAGAAGACATGAGTTAAGAGAAAGAAGAATGGCTTGGATTGGAGGTAGCAAAATTATGAATCTAAATTAATGTAGTCAACTGGAAAATTAGCTCTTTAAAAGCCCAAAATTATGAATCTAGAGCATATCTGTCAAGTACAATAGAAGGGTAAGGACTGCATTAATAGCCGCTGGTATTACCAATTCAGAGCAACTAGGAAGAACAAAAGTTCTGTACTGGCTAACGACTTGGATATGAGGGAGCAAAATTAAGAATCTAAATTACCACAGTCAACTGGAAATAGCTGCATCATTAAAACTTTAGCTAGTGACTAAAGGAATATGACAATTATAAAAACTTGCCATGAGTTTATATTCCAACCTGATAATGCTCTTCTGTAAATTTGTCATTAGAACGGAGCATATGACGCAGGTCAGTTTCCATCAGCTCATATACAATATAAACATCATTAAAGCATTCCCACTGGGGTGGTAGGATTATATCCCTGATTGCAACAACCTGCATTAAATGTACAAATGACATAATTATGTCCGTCCCTATAGCACACATAATTAACACTTCAAAGTGGAAAGGATATAAGGTAACGATCCTCCTAATATAGCAAAAAATTTTAGGAGGAGTTTGAACAAGCCAATATCACAGCCATATCAACAACATTAGAACAGGAAAAAATAAAGAAAGAAAGAAAGAAATGTATTAATAACAAATGAACTTCACAAAATGCAAGTTTAAAGAAACCAGAAAAAAAATTCCACTCACTGACGTTTTCATGGCCCAAGTGACAAAGCAGCTTGATCTCACGAAGAGTTCTCCTTGCATCAAGCCCGTTACTAAACGCATTCGGTATCTTCTTTACTGCCACGGTTTCATTTGCCTCGGAATTAAACGCAGAGCTAAACCCAAATAATTGAAAAGAATCAAGAAGATGACAAATCTTCAAGTAACAAAAATCAATCAAGAATGGAACTAAAAGAAACCTAATCAAAAGAAGAACAAGAATTACCAAAAGATTCCGTGGTCGCCTTTACCGATAAGCACGACAGGGGCTTTATATTTAGCAGTGACCTAAAAAATATTGCCGAAAATGTCATACTGAATAAACCTGCCGCCATAGGTAGAAGTGGTCGGAATTTCAATACAGTAAGGCATCTGCAGTTGATTTTCAGGTTGTTTCAGCGGTGGAGCTGCCTCGACCGTTTCAGCGGTGGAGCTGCCTCGACCATCTCGGTTTCCTCCGGCTGAGGTGGACGTCCCGCTTCTTCTTTTATTGATCAAATTGATCTGTTCTTTTTTTTCCCTCTTCTTCGGCGAGGGAAAAGTTGTTCAACGGTAAGGTTTTCTCTTCTTCGGCGAGGGAAAAGTTGTTATAAATAAAATATACATATCGTACAATTCAAATTATCTATAATTTTTGTTTTTAAACAAAAATAATATTTATAGTAGAAATATAATATATAAATATATTAATATTTTTATAGATGATTTATTATTAAAATAATACATTTAAAAAACATATGGATTTTCAAAATTCTTAAATCCCCTAAACCCAAAGCATTAAATACTAAATCCCTAATTTCATTTATTATCGTCATGGAATCAACAATCACCGCACCACTTTCATCGCCAAAACTTTACCACCAATTACTCACTCTCTTGTCGTTGGATCAAAAAATAATGTTTTAATCAATCGTGTAAACACTGAATATGAAATATTCTAATCGAACCATTAACAACGATCGATCGATGATTAGCACGACAAGAGGAGGAGACTCCAATGTGATGGCAATAACGTGTTATCAACCATGGTTAGTGTAGATGCTTGATTTGTCCGGTCCAACTCAAAGTGCTCAATTGGTGGGAGATCAAAGCCAAACTGGCAGCCCAACAACTAAGAACCGAGCTCAGCTTCCAGCAACAATGTTTCCCAGCCTCTGCATGAACGGTTTGCCAACTGAAAATGAAAGGACTGCAAACAAAGATAATAACCAAGGCAGCACCAAAACGTGAGGGGAACCGTTAGCAATAGAGAGAGATATGTTGAGCAGTCAAGAAAACCGTAAAGTATCAGTTTTCAATTAACTACCAGAAACGTGGGACACGCAGAAAAGAGGGGGGTGAACGACTGAAAACGGAAAAGAAAAAAAGGAGGTTAACATCTATCATCAGCATGGGGAGAAGAGAGAGAACAGAGATTACACAGAAAAAAAAACAGAGAAGAGAAAAACATTTTGTAAAAAAGAGACTTCTACTCTCCATCCTTTTTTTGATTTTTCAAAAGCAATGTAATAGTGGGGTTCTTCACCCATTTTTGTAAGAAACAACAAATCAAAGAACGAGGGCCATTTGAACCAACAAGGTTTCAAGCAGTAAAGAAAATATTAAAAATATCGACCTTCCTCAAAAGAGCATAGCAAGCGAAAAAGAACCGTTTTCAAAGGTATCAATCTTAATCTATCACTTTTTTTTGTTTTTTTTGTCCGAATCAAAGCAGTGAGGAAGAGATAGAGAGTGATTTGTTTACCTTAGAAGCGAGGGTCTTTGTCGAAGTTGCAGTTGTCGGAGTGAGCAGTCCGTGAGCCTTTGATTCTTTTTTTTTGTGTGGATTTGGTGGTCGTCTTAGGCGTCGTTTGGCCCCTTAGGCCGTTGTTAGCGGTGGCGGAATGAT